TAGATACCAGGGTCTTTAGGGAGTGGAGAATGGGAAATTAGAGTTTAATGGGCACAGAATTTCTATTCAGGAAGATGAAAAAGTTCTAAAGATAGACAATGGTTGATTGCACAACAATGTGAATGTACTTGATGACACAGAACTGTATACTTCAAAGTGGTAAATTTTTGTTAGGCATATTTTACCACAGTAAAAAAGCAAGGTTCAACTATATGCTGCCTACAAGAAATACACTTTAAACAAAAAGACACAAGAAGGTAAAAATAAAAGAAAGTAAATATATATACACATTATATTAGTCTATTCTCACACTGCTATAAATAAATACCTGAGCCAAAAGCAACTGCAACAGAAGCAAAAATTGACAAATGATATCTAATTAAAATGAAGAGCTTCTGCACAGCAAAAGAAGCTATCAAGAGTAAATAGACAACCTACAGAATGGGAGAAAACTTTTGCAATCTATTCTAGATTACTCTGAAAGGCATTATCTCAGCAGTAGGAATACTTAGCTCTAGACTGAGGACTGCTCTGAGACCACCTGAAAAACCATAAGAGCAAGACCTAAAAAAGTCAAATTGTTTCCAAGTAACTTGATTGCACGTGAGAACAAAGCTCAAGAAAATTTATGGGAATACAAAAATATCCAGCACTCAACAAGTTAAAGTTAACAATGTCTGTCATCTCATCAAAAATCACCAGTCATGGAAAGGAGCAGGAAAACACAACACATAAAGAGAAGACTAATCAATGAATAGAAATCTTTAGAGGTAATTTACTATTTAAATAAAAATAATAACAATGTATTGTGTTGTTTATAACATATATTCAAGTGGAATCTTTGAAAAAATAGCAAAAGGCCAGAAAGGGAAGTATCCTAGTATAAGATTTATATATATATATATATATAAAAATCATACTTGCAATCTATTTATCTGGCAAGGGTCAAATATCCAGAATCTACAAAGAACTTAAACAAATTTACAAGAAAGAAAACATTAAAAAGTGGGCAAAGGACATGAACAGACACCTCTCAAAGGAAGACATACATGCTACCAACAAACATGAAAAAAAGCTCAACATCACTAATCATGAGAAAAATGCAAATCAATACCACGGTGAGATACATCCGACTGATGTATAGTATTGATTTGCATTTGGTATTGATGTGAGTCAGATGTCTCACATCAGTCAGAATGGCTATTATTAAAAAGACATAAAACAACAGATGCAAGCAAGGTTGCTGAGAAAAAGAAATGCTTTTACACTATTAGTGGGAATGTAAATTAGTTCAACCATTGTGAAGACATTGTGGCCATTCCTCAAAGACCTAGAGGCAGAAACAGCATTTGACCCAGCAATCCCATTACTGGGCATATACCCAAAGAAATAGAAATCATTCTCTTAAAAGGGCACATGCACACATATGTTCATTGCAACACTGTTCACAATAGCAAAGACATGGAATAATTGTAAATATCCATCAGTGATAGACTAGATAAAAAACATGGTACATATACACCATGTAATACCATGAAGTCATAAAAAGGAACAAGATCATGTCCTTTGCAGGGACATGGATGGATTTAGAACCCATTATCATCAACAAACTAATCCAGGAACAGAAAACCAAACACCCCTTGTTCTTAAGTGGGAGGTGAATGATGAGAACACATGGATACATGAAGGTGAACAGCACACACTGGGGCCTGTTGGAGGATGGCGGTGAGTGGAGGGAGAGCATCAGGAAAAATAGCTAATAGATGCTAGGCTTAATACCTAGGAGATGGGATGATTTGTGCAGCAAACCATCATGGCACACATTTACCTTTGTAACAAATCTGCACATCCTGCATATGTACCCCTGAACTTAAAATAAAAGTTGAAGAAAACAAAAAAAGAAATACCTGAGACTCAGGGATCTCTTACTCATGGCAGAACGCAAAGTTGGAATGGGCGCTTCAGAAACAAGAGAGAGGACTAGGTAACTTAAAAGAAGAGAGGTTTCATTGCTTCATGGTTCTGCAGGCTATACAGGAGTCATAGTGGCATCTACTTCTGGGGAAGCCTCAGGGAGCTTTTACTCATGACAGAAGGCAAAGTTGAAACAGGCACTTCAGGAACAAGAGAGAGGAGTGGGAGGTGCCACACATTTTTAAATAGTCAGATCTTGAAAAAACTCACTCATTATCACAAGGAAAGCACCAAAAGATACAAAGCCACTCATCAGAAATCCACCTCCATGATCTAATCACCTCCCACCAGGCCCCACCTCCAACATTGCTATATTTCAACATGAGATTTGGGCAGGGACACACATCCAAATTATATCACACACACACACACACACACACACACACACACCCACCCCATGTTACCACTAGTAAGAAGAAAGTGGCAGTGGCTATATTGTTAGAAAAAAATATAGTTTAGAGCAAAAAATATTAATTAAAAAGTACATATCATGACAAAAAGATAATCAGAAATATGTAACAATCATAAATATTTACGTACCTAATAATGAGTGACTTTGAAAACACATGAAACCAAAACTGACAGTAATGCAGAGAAATAGATAAATCCATAATTATGTTGGAGATTTCAATATTTTCTCAATAACTAATAGAACAAGTGGAAAAATCAATAAGGATAGAGTAGACTGGAAAAATACTATCAATCAACATGAGTTGATTGATATTTATAGAACATCATGCCTAATAATATCAGAATATATATTTTTCTCAAAGTCCTATGAAACATTTGCCAAGATAGAACATATTCTGAGCTATGAGATAGCTCTTAATAAATCAAAAGGATTCAAGTTATACAAAGTATGTTCTCTGACCATGATGGAATTCTTAAAAAACAATAACAGAAATATCCATAGAAAATTCTCAAATCATTGAAAGCTAATTTAAATACTACTAAATAACTCATGAATCAAAAAAGTATATAAAAATGGAAATCTGAAAGTATTTTGAACTGAACAAGATGAAAACACAACATATCAGATGTCATTAAAGCAATACTTAATAAGAAATTTACAGCACTCAACCCAGATCTAAAAATTAAGGAAGGTTTCAAGTCAATGAATTTCAGATTCTACCTTAAGAAACTAGCAGCAAAAGAACAAATAAAACGAAAGTAGGCAGGAAAAATGATATAATAATAACCAAAGTAGAAATTAAAGAAATAAAAAACAGAAAAATAAAGAAACTGATGAAACCAAAAGACAGTTATTTGAAATCAATAAAGCCTGTAATCATATAGATTAGAAAAAAGACACAAATTACCAACAGCAGAAATGAAAGAGGTGACATCACTACAGATTCTACAAATATTAAAAGAATAATATGGAAATATCATGAACAACTTTACGCCAATAAATTCAACAACTTCTGAATTGAAAGGCAAATTACCAAAACCCACGCAAGAAGAAATTTAAAACGTGAATACACTTATCTATTTTAAAAATCAATATTTTTAAATCTTCCCTTTAAGAAAATTCAAGGCTCAAATGAATTCACTGGTGAATTCTACCACATATTTAAGGAAGAAATAATAGCTATTCTATACAAACTCTTTTAAAAAATTGAAAAGGAAGTAATACTTACCAGTTCATTCTATGAAGATAGCATTACCCTGATGCCAAAGCCAGATAAAGCTATTAAAAGAAAACTACAGACCAGGGCTGTCAATCTTTTGGCTTCCCTGGGCCACCCATAAAATACACTAACACTGGCCGGGCACGGCAGCTCACATTTGTAATCCCAGCACTTTGGGAGGCCGAGGCAGGTGGATCACCAGGTCAACAGATTGAGACCATCCTGCCCAACATAGTGAAACCCCATCTCTACTAAAAATACAAAAATTAGCCAGGCATGGTGGCGCACACCTGTAGTCCCAGCTACTTGGGAGGCTGAGGCAGGAGAATTGCTTGAACCAAGGAGGCGGAGGTTGCAGTGAGCCAAGACTGGGCTGTTGTACTCCAGCCTGGTGACAGAGCGAGATTCCATCTCAAAGAAAAAAAAAATACAGTAACACTAACAATAGCTGATGAGCCAAAAACAAAAACCAAAATTGCAAAAAAATCTCACATTTTAAGAAAGTTTACAAATTTGTGTTGGGCTTCATTCAAAGCTATTCTGGACTGCATGCAGCCCATAGGCCGTGGATTTAAAAAAAGCTTGCTATAAACCAATATCCCTCATGAACACAAACACAAATACCTGGTTTTATTGTCCTTTGCTTTACTGTGCTTTGCAGATACTGATTTTTCTTTTATAAAACTGAAGCTGTAATAAAAATTATTCCAACCAAAAAAGCCCAGGACCACATGGATTCACAGCCAAATTTTACCAGATGTACCAAGAAGTCTGATACCAATCTTACTGAAATTATTCCAAAAAATCAAGAAGGAAGGATTCCTCCCTCACTCATTTTATGAAGCCAGTATCACCCTGATAACAAAATCAGCCAAGAACACCATAAAAGCAAGCCAAGGTCAATATCCCTGATGAATATAAATGCAAAAATCCTCAACAGAATACTAGCGAACTGAATCCAACAGCACATCAAAAATATAATACATCATGATTAAGTGGGTTTTATTCCTGGATGCAAGGATGCTTAAATGTACACAAATCAATAAATATGTTTTTATTTATTGAAAACAAAAAAATAGAATTAAAAACAAAATATATATATATTTATATTACATATATATGCATACATATACATATGTATACACACACACACACACACATACATATATATATGTATATAGATTCCAGCCACCAGGTTTATTTTTATGCTGTAAATAAGTTCCCTATTGTTCCCGTTTTCTGTTATACATGAGATACAGAGAAACAGAAATTTGCTTGGTGAATGATCAACTGTTTTGCATACCTAAATATCAATGAGATAGTAAGCCAGACTTGTAAGGCACTGAAACCAAGGCTAACAGCAACAATCCACTATCAAAGGATTTCAGTGCCAGAACTGTGAAGTGTTCTCTATTGGTGCTGGGACAGTCCGGCTGACAATTACTGTCCACTCTAGAGGGCTGGACACTTGTGATTTCTGTTTGCCTTCCCTGGCATGGAGCCCAGATCTGTTTCATGAGCAGAGTAACTATGGAGGAGTCTTCTCTGATGGAAAGTTGGTTTTAAGTCCAAAATCTGGAGAGATGTCATGACGGGCAGCAGCCCCAATGGACCTAGTCCCTTGTAGGGCAGAGTGTCACTGTCTGCTGTGCCAGTGCCCATGCTGCACTGAGTGGGTTTGGCCGCTGTGGTCGGCTTGTCCTTTAGTGGTTTGCAGATTGTGTGCCACTATCACGAGGAGTTTGTTGCTGGGAGTGTATGGGAAAGGGGAGGAAAAAGGGGTATCGGATTTGTCCAATCACTGGAGGATGAAGTGGGTCACTCAGAGTGAATGGTGGTCGGGATGAGAGTTGCCTGTCTTCAGCCAGTGTCTGTCCCATATGTGGGCTGGACTCTGACAGCCTGGCAGCGAGGGTGTTTATAAAATGCTTGGCCTGCACAGGGCCAGGGAGAAGACGACATCATGGAGGTCACTGCGTCGTAAGAGAGGGCCAGCATCTGCCACTAAGAAGAGTTGCAAGGGCTGTGCCTACTTCTGCCCAGATACCAAGACCGCCAGCTCCTGGATGGACATGTCCTTGTTGACGTAACAGTCATACTGAGCAGGGGTCAACCTGCTGCTCTGCAGGGCGTCTTCGATGGAGAACTTCTTGCCAGACTTCCTGTCGTGTATCACTGAGGACTCCCCGTTGGGCCCCTTCACTGAGATTTCCTCCCAGTCACACTCCTGGCTTTTGAGTTTCACAAGCATGCTCCAGTCAATGAGCCCGGCGCGGTGGGCTTCCTCCGGGGACAGCTCGTGGCCCATGTCGGGGTGGATGACCACGATGGACTGCCTTGAGGCTGAACTGAGGTCACCCCAAGGAGGACTGGCTGAACTGAAATGAGAATCCATGTTCCCTGGTGCTTCTGATGGGGGCTGGAGGAGGTGGGAACAGATCACAGAGGAGGAACTTTAGCATCCCGGGCCTTCAGGAGGCATTACCCACTGCAGGCCGTTTCCCTCCTCTGGGCCTCGGTTTCCTCATCTGTAAAATGAGTGAGGACATTAGGCCTGGCACCTCCAAGCTGTCCCTTCCACTTATTTCTCAGGTTGCTTCGGGGCAGGCTGGGAAGCAGCAAGGGAACCAACAGAACTGATCATCCCCCAGTGACAGCTTAAATCCCAAGGAAAGGAGGTGTCTTGAATCAAGGCCAGGAGAGGGCTGCAGGCGTCCCCAGCTGGGATTCTCTGGTAGGTGCCGAATGAACTTGAATCTTCAACTCCAGACCTTCAGAGAGCAAGCTGGGCAAGAAAAATGTGAGGTCTGGAAAAAGCTGTGCTGGAAAGGCCAGAGCCCCGTGCAGTCCTGGCTTTGTCGCTAACTAGCTGTGCAGCCTTGACCCCTGCCTCTGTGTGCCTCGGACTCTCCTCTGTCTGATGAGGTCACCCTTCAGGCCCTCCAGCTCTAAGAGTGTGCAAAAGTTTTCCCAGCATTCTCTCTGTGGGAGGTACAGGCAGGAAGAGATGTTTTTCAACAAGTCGGACAAAATGTTGCAAATGATTTAGACTCTGTAGAGGAGGAGCTCCGGAAAAAAAAAAAAAAATATATATATATATATATATATATATATATATATATATATATATACACACACACACTTTTTATTATATATATATGCACACTTTTTGTTTATATATATATGTGGGTGGGAGGGTGGGGTGGCAGGGCTGGGCTAGTGGGGCCTGCAGCGGGAAGGGGAGGCTGCAGGGTGGGGTCTGCTGGGCAGGGCAGGCACGGTAGGGAAGATGCATGAGCTGGTGCCGGAGGGCTCTCTGGGATTGCAGGCAGGCCAGTCCCCTGCACCCCCAGGCGGGTCTGCTGGGCTTCAGCTCCGTCAACTGACTAAGGGGTGGCTGTGAGGAGGAGTTGCTGTTCCCAGGGCATGGGTGGGCCTGGCCCTCCCTCCGCTTCCCACCCCTTCCCTCTTTCCTGCCTGGCCTTCCTCCCTGCCGGCTCCCCGAACAGCCTGGCCTGTGCAGCAGCCATGGACAGGTACAGCATGGAGGAGCTGATTCAGCTGGGCCCAGGTAGGGCAGGCAGAGCTGGAGGCTGTGGGAGGCAGAGGAGGGGAGCCGGGGCCCAAGGCCTTTGGCTGTGCAGGGCCACAAGGGGTCAGGGCTGTTCCTGGCAGACCTGTCTCTTCCCACTGCCCACAGTTCTGAGATGCCAGAATCTGGGATGCAGGGATAGGCACGGCCCCCTCTCGGAGCTGGCCCAGGAGCGTGTATGATGTGTCCTGGCCCACGGGCCCTGTCCTGGCTCAGTGGAGTGGTAGAGGAACTGCTCCCTGCCAGCCTGGGAGCTGGTTCTCACCCAGGCTGTTGAGTCACAGGCTCCTCAGAGACTTCCCTGGCTGGAGGCGGGGAGTGGGCTGAAGCATCCGGCCTGCCGGCCCCTGCCCACTCCTGGCCGGATGCTGTCCTGGGCTCAGCTGGGAGTTGGGCCCTCTCTGGCATGCCTTTGGGGCAGTGAGTGTCCCCGACCCTCAGGGCTGCCAGGGTCTGCCCAACCCCTGGCCGCCCAGAGCAGACCCCTCAGCAGAACCTTTTCAAGTGTGGGGCTGGAGAGCAGGAGGCTGGGGTGGGCCCACCTGGCCCCAGCCCTCTTGTCCTTGAGCTCCCCAGCATGGGCCAGGGTGCTGCCCAGTGACCAGGGCTAGGCTGGTTCACTGTGCCTTGCTGTGGGCTGAGGTGACTACACTGGAGGCCACCTGGGCTCAGATGGCAGCATGCGGGATGTTGGGTGGCGCCTTAGGCTCCTGGTCTGTATGACGCATTCGTGGTACAGGACTTCATGGGGCTCGCTTAGGGTTCCATGTGGTGCCAGGAGCAGTGGAAGTGTCAATGTGCGTTCTGCTGGGCCTCAGGTGCACGCAGCAGACAAGGGTCCTGGACACGGCATCTAGAAAAATGAATACTTTCCAGAAGCTTTTCCATTTGCTTTGCGCAGATCCATCAATAGAATCACTCTCAGTGGCAGCTATATAAACTAGTTAAAGCTACATATATACATAAATTTCTTAATAGCCCTATGAAATATACTTTTTTCTTTTTTTTTTTTAATTATTGCATTTTAGGTTTTGGGGTACATGTGAAGAACATGCAAGATTGTTGCATAGGTACACACGTGGCAGTGTGATTTGCTGCCTTCCTCCCCATCACCTATATCTGGCATTTCTCCCCAAGCTCTCTCTCCCCAAATCCCAACCCCCCCACTGTCCCTCCCCTATTTCCCCCCAACAGACCCCAGTGTGTAGCGCTCCCCTCCCTGTGTCCATGTGTTCTCATTGTTCAACACCCGCCTATGAGTGAGAACATGCGGTGTTTGATTTTCTGCTCTTGTGTCAGTTTGCTGAGAATGATGGTTTCCAGGTTCATCCATGTCCCTACAAAGGACACGAACTCATCATTTTTGATGGCTGCATAATATTCCATGGTGTATATGTGCCACATTTTCCCTGTCCAGTCTATCATCGATGGGCATTTGGGTTGGTTACGGGTCTTTGCTATTGTAAACAGTGCTGCAATGAACATTCGTGTGCACATGTCCTTATAGTAGAACGATTTATAATCCTTTGGACATATACCCAGTAATGGGATTGCTGGGTCAAATGGAATTTCTATTTCTAGGTCCTTGAGGAATCGCCACACTGTCTTCCACAATGGTTGAACTAATTTACACTCCACCGACAGTGTAAGAGTGTTCTGATTTCTCCACATCCTCTCCAGCATCTGTTGTCTCCAGATTTTTTAATGATCGCCATTCTAACTGGCGTAAGATGGTATCTCAATGTAGTTTTGATTTGCATTTCTCTGATGACCAGTGATGATGAGCATTTTTTCATATGTTTGTTGGCCTCATGTATGTCTTCTGAAATATATTTCTTTTCTTTTTTTTCTTGTTTTGAGACGGAGTTTCGCTCTTGTTACCCAGGCTGGAGTGCAATGGCACGATCTCGGCTCACCGCAACCTCCGCCTCCTGGGTTCAGGTAATTCTCCTGCCTCAGCCTCCTGAGTAGCTGGGATTACAGGCACGCGCCACTATGCCCAGCTAGTTTTTTGTATTTTTAGTAGAGACGGGGTTTCACCATATTGACCAGGATGGTCTCGATCTCTTGACCTCGTGATCCACCCGCCTCGGCCTCCCAAAGTGCTGGGATTACAGGCTTGAGCCACCGCGCCCGGCGAAATATATTTCTTAATAAGAAAAAAAAGTATATGATTATCTCAATCAATGCAAAGAAAATATTCAATAATATCCAACATTCCTTCATGATAAAAACCCTCAACACTCTAAGCACTGAAGGAACATAACTCAAAATAATAAAGGCCATGTAGGACAAACCCACCATCAACATCATACTGAATGGGGAAGAGGTCAAAGCATTCCCCCTAAGAACTAGAATAAGAAAAGAGTATGCATTCTCACTACTTCTATTCAGCATAGTACTGGAAGTCCTAGCCAGAGCAATTAGGCAAGAGAAAGAAATAAGTGCATCCAACTTGAAAAAGAAGAAATCAAATTATCTCTATTCACTGATGACATGACCTTATATCTAGAAAACTCTAAAGACTCCTCCAAGAAACTCCTAGACTTAAAAAAAAAAAAAGTTTCAGGACGCAAAACCAACATAGAAAAATCAGGAGCATTTCTATGTACCAATAACATTCAAGCTGAGAATGAAATAAAAAACTCAATTCCATTTACAATACACACCTACTACCTGGAAATACATTTAACTATTTAAGCAAGGAAGGAGAGATCTCTACAAGGAGAACTACAAAACACTGATGAAATAAATTATAAATGACATAAACAAATGGAAAAATATCCTATGCTCATGGATTGGAAGAATCAATATTGTTAAAATGACCATACTGCCCAAAGCAATATATAGAATCAATGCAATTCCTATCAAATTACCAATGTCATTTATGACAGCATTAGAAAAAAAAAATCCCAAAATTCATATGGAACCAAAAGGAGCATAAATAGCCAATGCAATCCTAAGCAAAAAGAACAAAGCTTGAGGTATCACATTACCTGACTTCAAATTATACTACAAGGCTATAGTAAGCAAAACAGTATGGTACTGGAATAAAAACCATATAGATCAATGGAACAGAATAGAGAACCCAGAAATAAATCCACATACCTACAACCAACTCATCTTTGACAAAACACGCAGTGGAGAAAAAACATCCTATTCAAGAAATGATGCTGGAAAAATTGGCTAGCCATATGCAGAAAAATGAAACTGAATCTCTCACCACATAAAAAAATTAACTCAAGATTAAATAAAGACTTAAATGTAAGACCCAAAACTATAAAAATCCTAAAAGAAACCCTATAAAGACTCTTCAGGACATTGGCCTAGGCAAATAACTTATAACTACAACATCAAAAGCAAATGCAAAAAAACAAAAACAAAAACAAAAACAAAAACAAAAATAGACAAATGGGACTATATTACTAAAAAGCTTCTGCAGAGTAGAAATAATCATCGACAGAGTCAACAGACAACCTACAGAATGGGAGAAAATATTTCCAAACTGTGTGTGTGTGTCAAAGGACTAATATCCAGAATCATCAAGGAACTCAGCCATATCAGTGAGGGAAAAAAACTAGAATCTGGAGAGCATATTCAGTCATTGCTGCTGGGATATTGTTGTTTCTAGGCCATCTTAGCCGACAGAGCAAGGATGTGTGTGTGTGTACTAACCTGTGCAATACATATATCTATAAATATTTCTGCTTGCAACTATCTGTAGATCTATTAAGCTAAAATTGACTTCATACATATGTCTCCAACTGCTGTACAGAACCATATAGATCATTCTAATCTCTTCTTGCTTATCTGTAGATTCTCACTCCAGCAGTGAGAAAACTGGCTTGTACCCTGTATCATCCATTTACTTAATTGTTCGATTCCAACATACATGTACAGTAGTATCAGAACTGTTAATCTATATTCTCATAGAAAACATCTTTATCAACTAGAGTACAGTGCTTATATACAGTTCCTATTGTCTTTAGCCTTATAGACTTCACTTATGTCCATAGTTATCTAGGTTGTCACCTTCCCCACCACCTTCACTGAGGTTGTTTTATATATTTGTAATACAGATTCTCTTGTCATACATGCATTCCTTCTTGCATCCCCCAATCTCTTAAATGATTTTCTTAAGGTGCATATATTGAGTTTCACACTAGTGCTGCAAAGTTGTATGGGTT